GGATGAATGGAAGACGGCTTTCAACACTCCCTTAGGTCATTTTGAGTATCTAGTCATGCCTTTTGGACTCACTAACGCTCCAACAGTATTTCAGGCTCTGGTCAACGATGTCCTGCGTGATTTCCTTAACCGCTTTGTCTTTGTATACATAGACGACATCCTGATTTTCTCCAAGAACCAGGAGGAACACGAGAACCATGTCCGCCTGGTGCTTCAGAGACTGCTGGAGAACAAGCTCTATGTCAAGGCTGAGAAGTGTGAGTTCCACCAGAACCGGATCAGCTTCCTGGGCTATATCATTAGTCAGGGCAGAGTGGAGGCAGACCCTGGAGAGATCGAGGCTGTGGTCGAGTGGCCAACCCCTACTACGAGGAGGGAGCTTCAGAGGTTTCTGGGCTTCGCCAACTTTTACCGCCGCTTCATCAGGAACTTCAGTAAGGTTGCTGCACCTCTCTCAAGACTCACCTCTGTCAACATTAAGTTCTTCTGGACCCCAGAGGCTAATGAGGCTTTTCTCAAACTCAAGTCCCTGTTCACCTCTACTCCCATCCTCATCCAGCCAGACCCTGAGAAACAGTTTATTGTGGAGGTTGATGCGTCAGACACTGGGGTGGGAGCTGTCTTGTCGCAAACAGCTGGTTCTATTAACATCCTTCATCCTTGTGCCTTCTTTTCACGCCGCCTCTCTCCTGCTGAGCGCAATTATGATGTTGGAAACAGGGAGCTTCTGGGAGTAAAGTTGGCGTTACAGGAGTGGAGACACTGGCTCGAGGGCAGCAAGCAGTCATTCCTGGTCTGGACAGACCACAAGAACCTCGCCTACATCCAGTCAGCGAGACGGCTGAACTCCCGACAGGCCAGGTGGGCTCTCTTCTTCAGTCGTTTCAATTTTAGTCTCACATACCGTCCAGGTTCCCGGAATGTAAAGCCCGATGCTCTATCCAGACTGTACTCTCCTGACTCTCCCGAGCCCTCTGCTGTTTCAATCCTGCCCAAGAGTTGTGTTGTCGGCGCCCTCTCTTGGGAGATTAATAACACCATCCAGGAGGCTTTGAGAGAGCAACCAGATCCTGGTAACGGTCCTCCGAACCGTCAGTTCGTTCCCGATGCTGCTCGCACCAAGGTTCTACAGTGGGTCCACAGTTCCCGGTTCTCCATCCATCCCGGAGTAAACCGCACACGCTCTTTTCTTAAGAGACACTTCTGGTGGCCAACTGTCAACAAGGACACTCAGGAGTTTGTTTCTTCCTGTCCCACGTGTGCTAGGAGTAAGTCCTCCCACCAAACACCTGCAGGATTGCTCCAGCCTCTACCCATCCCTAGTCGTCCCTGGTCACATATCGCCTTGGACTTTGTTCCCGGCCTGCCTCCCTCCCAGGGTAACACCACAATTCTCACCATTGTTGATAGGTTCTCTAAGTCTGCCCACTTTGTAGCTCTTCCTAAGCTCCCTTCAGCCCTGGAGACCTCCCAACTCCTCTCTGTACACGTTTTCCGGCTACATGGAATCCCTTCTGACATAGTCTCTGACCGCGGTCCTCAATTCACCTCTAGAGAGTGGAAGGAGTTCTGTCAATCCCTGGGAGCTTCTGTCAGTTTAACATCCGGATATCATCCCCATCAAACGGTCAAACTGAGCGAACCAACCAGGACCTGGAGTCAGCCCTCCGCTGCATCGTTGACCGTAACCCCTCTACCTGGAGCTCCCATCTTCCCTGGGTTGAGTACTCTCATAATTCCCTAACCTGTTCTGCTACTGGTCTCTCCCCGTTTGAGGCCTCTTTAGGGTACCAGCCGCCCCTGTTCCCTGAAGAGGAGAGAGAACTAGCAGTTCCCTCGGTCCAGCAGCATGTTCGTCGTTGTCAGACGATCTGGAGAGACACTCGCTCTGCTCTCCTCCTGACTTCAGCTCGGAACCAACAGTCGGCCAACCGCCACAGACAAGCTGCCCCTCCTTACGTCCCAGGTCAGTCTGTCTGGTTATCTTCCAAGAACATTCCTCTCCTCACAGAATCTAAGAAGCTGTCCCCACGCTTTATTGGTCCCTTCTCCATTCAAAGGATTATTAACCCCTCTGCAGTCCGGCTGAAGCTTCCCAGAACATTGAGAATCCATCCTACTTTTCATGTCTCCCAGATTAAGCCTGTTCACACCAGTGACCTGAGCCCTCCAACCGTTCCCCCTCCTCCCCCCCGAATCATTGATTACCATCCTGCCTACACAGTGCACCGTCTCATGGACGTCAGGCGCCGGGGCAGGGGCTTACAGTATCTGGTGGACTGGGAGGGTTACGGCCTCGAGGAGCGATGCTGGGTCCCTCGCTCCCGAGTCCTGGACCCTGTGATGATAAGGGCCTTTCACAGGGCTCATCCAGACAAGCCTGGTGGTCGCCAGGAGGCTCCCGTTGAGGGGGGGGGGGTACTGTGAGGATCTGCAGTACTTCCTCCTTCTTTTCCCCTTCTATGTTTGTCTGTCTTCCTGGCTGGGCGTGGCTGACCTACTTTCTGATTCCCGCCAACTCACCTCCGCTGCTGTTGTTCATCTCACTGATTGCCACTACTCACCTGCACCTGCTTAAAACCCTGGTTCCCATCCTCAGACTTCGCCAGTTCTTCGTTTATTCTTCAGTGGTAAACTATCGTCCAGGCCTACTAGCATTTATTCTAGTAAACCTTTTTGATGCTCCTAGTGAGAGGATATTCCTTCCTAACCCTGCTTCTTTCCTGTTCCAGATCCACACACCTGCCGCTCTGCTTGCCACGTCCAGCCTCCGACTCCTCGTCTGAGTTCCCTCCGTGCTTCCACGCACACCAGCTCATCCTGACTACATTCGCCAGCTCTGGATCTCCGGCTCTCCACGCCGGTGCTCCCTCCGTGCATCTCCGCACCTCCGTTTCCCCCTGGTCTATCCAGCTCCACGTCTCCCTTCTCTGAGCTCCTCTCTACACCTTGCCTGTGCCGTGGTCAAATAAAGACTATTGTTTGACACTTCACCACTGTTTCCGTCTAAGTGCTTGCGTAGCGGGTTCTCATCTCCAGTCACTTCTCGGGAAGCTTAACAGTTTGAGTCATTTTAATTCCTAGTACAGTAAAATGTATCACAAGTTCTGAGCCTTTGATGGATGGTTAAAGTGCTGAGGGACTACGTTTAATGCAAAACTGTTTCCATTCATTTCTAACTTATTTGCGACTGTGTGGTCGCACAGATCGCAGTTTTTATGTCCAATATTATCAATCATTTTAGAGCCTGTAAACATGACAATAATCATTATATATCTGAAGTGTTTCAGTAGTTTGAACCTGATGCAGACCAGGGCGCCGCCCTCCCTAAACCACACACAAAAACATTATTATGAATAATAATAATAATAATAATAATAATTATACTAATTAATTATCTAAATTCTCAATATTTGTGTGTTTAAAATGTGGAATGCACCAGAAATATGTGTAAAATATGATTTAAAAATAATTTGCGCAATATATATGCTTTTCCTATACACTGTATGACTGAAGTACTGTGCTGGGGCGATGGAGAAATCGCCCCACGGAGGCTGGTCTCTGTAGCAGGTTAGCCAACTGCTGATTCAAGATATGAACATGTGTCATAAAATGTAGCCAATCAGCGTCCTCAAAACTACTTCCGGAGGGGCGATTATAGAATCGCCCCAAGTAAGCAACTGCTACGCAGCTGGACGACGGCCACAGGATTGCGGTGAGGAAACACAATGAGGAGGGGGATAAAAACAGGCATATTTCATCCAAAATAATGACGTTTTGTGGGGCTTTTGAGTTGGCTTTGCGTGGGCATGACGAGACTGACTCTTCAGTCAACCCTGGCATCTTCAGGGGATTGGTGGATTTAGCTTCCTCCCTGCACACTGTGCTGGAGGAGCACCTGAAGACCGCCACCGATTTTAAAGGCACGTCAAAGACGTACACCACATTGATTTTAAGAATAAGAATCATTATTATTAGTTTGTTACATCTTCAGCTTTTTGTATTACTGTTGATTATACTGTTGTTCTGTAATATATATATATATATATGTGTATATTTATTTACATACATATATATATATATATATATATATCATATATTTCCATACATATATATTATATATTTCCATACATATATATTATATACATTCATATATGTATGCAAGTATTGCTAATGCCATTGTTTTTAAGTTTTTGTACATAGTCCTCAGTCTCAAATGCTTCAATTGTTTATGGAGGCATTCAAATGTAAGACTGGTAAATGAACACTGAAAACTCCCATTTTCTTTGCATGCAGTCATACTGGGATGTTTGCTGAGATGGATTGCATGTGGCACAGCCCTACCTAGAGAACATTCCACCAGCCGCCACTGATGCAGACCCTGGTGTTTATATCCTGTTTTACTAAGCGAGACCTTGTTATCCATATTACAACATAATGATTTCATGGCCTGAAGGCAAGACAGAAATTAGCTCCAAGAACCCCTGTTCTGTAACTATAGCCTGGACCCAGCTACAAACTGATTTCATTTTACAAAGCAATATGTAGCGAAAGTTTGCTGTAAGCTACAAGAAGCTACCGGTCATGTAAATTAATGTATTTAGAGTATTGCTCTTGGATTTAACCTTCATTTGTAAGATGGAGTTTGTGTGTGTGTTTTTATTGAGTTGCATAGCCTTTCTTTAATCATTGCCGCAAATAGGCTCCAGTGCAAATTCAACAGAAGAGTTTTATAGATAAAGATGTATTTTGTTGGAGAAAACGTTGTTCAAGATATTTTTTATCAAGATAATTAATCAATTTATTTGTATGTAGTTATAACTAGCTATCATCTGATAGAGCAGATGGCAGTTCTTTTGACATGTTTCACTTCATCTATGTTCATTAGAACTCATTTGAATATCAGAGCATGTGTCAGTGGAAGCAGGTGAGAGATCAATACTGCAGTGATGACTAGTTACTCATGCAAACACAGAGACACAAGTTCAAAAGAGCGTTACCGGAAAGCCTGCCCGTCCAGGAGGACCCTGGAAAAGGGGTGAGAGAAAGTTGGTACAAAAAGGAAAGAGTACATTTTACACATAAAGTCCTCATTACCATATATGCTGTACCGAACCAGGCCAGAACCAAATCACTTGAAGTGGTTACTATCCACACAGACACAGGTGTTTTGTAAACAGGGGATAGTCTAAATAGAAAATACAATCTGGGTAAGCACAGCTTGAATAAATTATCCAACCAGATAACCAGAAAACACAATGGAAACACACACACACACACACACACACACACACACACACACACACACACACACACACACACACACACACACACACACACACACACACACACACACACACACACACACACACACACACACACACACACACACACACTTCCTGTGTGGAAGCCAAAAGCACATTATTGTTATAGTCAAATTGGAGTTTCTGAAAATATTGAGCCTGGCTGGATGAACTCAGCTGTGAGTCGACAAAACAGTTTGGGTGTGGAGGAAAGTAAACACTTGATTTACAAAAACACCTGTGCACGTGTGGACGAGGCCGAATTTGAACGTATTTGATATTGGCCTTCTCAGCTCAGTGACATGTAAAAACATGCTTCTATACATTCTGGTCAACAAGCATTTCATAATTTAAAAACTTCACAAAACAAGCAGTTTTTAACACTAAAACACAAACTTAATTTCACCACAAAGACTCATGCAAAGATTGGTTTTGAAAGAATGCATGCTGATAGTTTGTATGTACTGCATAACAACCCCTATTCAAAACTGACCTAACTCTTCCTGAGTACCTTGCTAATGCGGATACAACAAGTCTGTTGGCTTCCATTAAACACATTACAAAGAGACAGAATGGCTTTCAGTTAGGGCCGGGATCTAGGAACAAGAAGGAGCTCATTGTGAAAAGTCAAGTGTGTGTTGTGTTCATTATTCTTCTGTGAGCAGCTCTTCAGTAAAGGACTAAATGGTAATTGGTTGGAAGTCAGAACAGGAACTCTTGATATTTTCCAAAAAGCTGCTGACGCTCTGCTGAGGAGAATGCTGGCATGTCATCAATATTCCTCCATGAGGAGTCCAGTGTGTGTGTGTGTGTGTGTGTGTGTGTGTGTGTGTGTGTGTGTGTGTGTGTGTGTGTGTGTGTGTGTGTGTGTGTGTGTGTGTGTGTGTGTGTGTGTGTGTGTGTGTGTGTGTGTGTGTGTGTGTGTGTGTGCATCAGCAAGAGAGGGGAAGTCATTCAGTCCTGAATGGTAAGTTAGTCAGACATCCAGCTCATGGATACTGGCGTTGATGTTCAAATACAAATGTTTATTTAGATATTGATACAAAATCTCTTTCTTTGTTTTACATGTGATTTCATTATTGAACATACTGTAGAATGCCAGTAGTGCTAGTACTACTGTACTAGATGGCCTCATTGGAAGGTAATGATGCAGATCACACCGTAATGTCCTTAGCATTTTAACTGAATGTGAATGTGAATGTGTTTTGGGGAATTTTCCAATGACTTAAATGACTGAAAAACAAACCGGCACACGGTGGCTTTTAGAGGCTAGGGCTCTTTGCCAGGTTTGCCTGTGGTTCAAGTTGCACATTTAGTTATTTGTGGGGATAGTGGACGCTTCTAAGGATTTTATAAATCTTGGTACAGTGATAGTTCAATGGCTATACACTTTTGAAACGCCACTTTTTAAGGCTTGGAATGCACAAACACAGGTCAGCGTAATATTCCTTTAATGATGTTCCGTTCTCCTCTGTTGTGTCATTGTCAATGTTTCATGTGTTTAATGTCAATTTGTTGTTCATATACTGTAGAAAAAACAGTAGCTGTGTAAAGTGCTGTTCGCCATACAAATGCAGTAGTTGCTATACAAAGAACTTTTTAGCATGTAGGAAATCAATGTATTTTACAACATAACTCGTATTGGGGACAGTCCCACAATGTGTTGGGGACCCTAATTGTTTTATAATGTTAAAAAAGCCACACATTTTCCAATGAAGCTGTTCTCGTGCATGTGATAGAAATGTGCTTGCCCTGCTGCTTGGCATATTATTTCCACTAACTTGGGCTGGCGGTGGGGGGCAGCGCACCGAGGGGCACGTCCAGGTGCTGAGTGTGAACATGCTGCACACTCGCTGCCCGTTAGCTACTGGGTCTCCTGGGGCCATCTGCAGGGGGCAAAGGTCTCCCAGTGCCGGAAGGAACCCTTCACTTGAATTACACAGTAACCCTCCAACATGTGGGTCCCATTTGGCAAAGTGCTGCTGAATGAATGGGAAGGCTGGGAGTGGGGGGTATATTTGGCCAACGTATGTGGAAGGTCCCCGGGGTGCTCCCTGTTCAAGAAGTGAGTTGGGATGTAAAGAAGATTTACTCATTGTTATTGGTTTTATTTGAGCCAGCATCTGACGTTGGTGCTCCCATACAGCTGGAAACACGTGGACAGAGAGAGCATAAGCAGTTAGTGTTAAGAACAGAGTTCTTCAGCAAGCTTAAGCACCAGGGCATCAAAAAGAGTTTTGTTGTGCCATTTTTGGGGAATTTGAAATGCTCAGGTCCTGTGGAGATGGAAGTGGAAAATCCGCCTCGCTGTCTGACCTCATGTACCTTAAGACTTCCTTTGTAGAAACTTTCCCTCAAATGTTCCAGGGAGGGATATTTGGCAGAAGTGATTTTCAAACTGACATGGATCCACAGAAGTCAAACTCATAGAGGCTAGATGTCTGGAAATGTTCGGCCAATCGAGGCGCATGAGTCCGGAGCTTTCATTCCACCCAAAGCCTTCATTTAAACTATTTACTATATCTGATGTGACCCACTGTCCTGTGGCTGCAGGGGTGCATGGGGCTGGAACTTATCCCAGGGTTCATTGGGCCAGAGGTGGACAGCCACTAGTCTGTCACACCACTGACCAACAGTGGTCCACAGTCACATTGACACCTTTAGAGTCCTTCATCTGGGGGAAACCCACCCAGAACATGTACAGTTCAGAAACCCCTGCTGCTGTAAACACCTCTGTCTGTCAGAGGCCACATTCACACAGGAAATGACAAAACTGCAATGATTTGTAACAATCAGAACAGTTTGGACAACGTGTAGCCTATTGGAAACCATTAAATGTATTTAATTTATGTCAGAATATAATTATGTTTGTTAATTATAATAATGTAAAATAGCACTGCACATTATCACTGCATCCAGACAAGACAATAGTATGTTTTGAGGTATAAGGTATGCTCTGGGGACTTTTGTTTATCCACCGTATACCATCGTGCAAACATAAGCAGTCACTTTACCACATGCAGGTCACTCAGGGGCCGGGTACTTACTGGAGGTCCTGAAAGACAGAAGAAAAGATACATATTTAGAATGATACAACATACATTACATACAGACAGTCTGCACACATCAACTGCTTGGTTCATATTAAACACGGTGAAATGAGCCAACATGAGCCGTGGGCCCCTGGTGGTCTTGAGCAGGTATCTGGTTGTTAATCCAGCTGAGACCCTGAGCTAAAGCAACATTCAAATGGTTCAGAAATAATCCCAGTAGCCTCTATGCAGAGGAAAGTAAAAATGTACACTTTTACAGTACACTCTTACACATCAACAATACCGTTCAGAGTCAGGGCATTACTAACATGTTTTACACACAAGATTCTTTCCCCACACAGATGGAGCCGATGCGACGCTTTCAAAAACACGTCAGATTCAATCATTGACATACTGCATTCTGTTTCTGTGCAGACCTTTAGTGTCTTTTAAAGTCTAAATATTACATTCTGTTTTCAATGAATACTGCTAAGATCAAGAAATGTCTCTATTTGTCTGAAAACAGCGCTGCTCCAAAAGAATGCAATAAGAATTGTATCACACACACACTGGATTGAGTTATTATGGAGGACACTATATTATCTTTGGTTGTGCTAATCTTGAGGTCAACTGTAGATATGCAGCATTGCTGTTTCAAAGGGATCCATCAGGTATTTACAATTATTTGCATGAATATTGTAGTTTCTGTTTTTAGAAAAAAGGTACAAAAAGCTTAAATATCGTAAAAACCTGTCTTAAAAACATTCAAGTGCCATGGGAAGTTATAGAGCAGTTTTATGACTATCCCCAAAAAACTAAGATTAAGATTAAGAAACAAACAAACAAACAAACAAACAAACAAACAAACAAACAAACAAACCATAAGCTTCCCCTGACCTTATCATGAGCATACAATCAATTACTGCTGAATCCAGACAGTTCATCCCTCCAGACTGTTGTTACGTCAATCACAGCGAGGTGGGAACAAATCACTAATAGCCGCGTTCACACCAAGTACTTTGCTGTACTTAGTGCCGGCACTTAGTGCCCCGGCACTTATTACCCCAGGGCACTTATTACCCCAGGGCACTTAGTACAGATCGCGTTCACACCGGAATAAGTTCCCTGAGGGAAGATTACGCAAATGAGCCGCTGACGTCACTTCTTCTTCTTCTGCTTTGGGTTTACTGGCAGGCCGCAAACCACTTCACGGTGTATACTGCCACCCGAAGTCCCCGGCCGGAGGTCCCCGGAGTTGGGGACTGGCTTCAGTAGAAGCTGCTGGGACTCCCAGCTCCACCGCTCCCATGTTTTCTTTTGTGTTGCCATAAGTTAGTCTCTCTGGGTTTGTGCGCTGGGTGAATGCTAATGCTAATAATGCTAATGCTAATAATGCTAATGCGAGGATAATAAAATGGCAGCTCTACAAAACATTTCAGAGTTTTACGGGGCGTGGTTTGCAATTCACCCAGCCAATCAGAACTGGGGCACTTTTTCCCCCCAGGAAAGTACCATCTCTCAGCAGGCACTAAAAATGGGGGTAAAAGTTCCCGGCACTAAGTGCTCTTTTTGGTGTGAACGCGACATAAGGGGTACTAACGGAACTAAACGCGAAAAGTACGGGGAAAAGTACTCCGGTGTGAACGCGGCTAGTGACAATCTGTTGTGAGAAAGGTCAGAACAAATCCCGCTCTATGTTCTCAGCAGACCGGTCCCTCTCTATGTTCTCAGCAGACCAGTCCCTCTCTATGTTCTCAGCAGACCAGTCCCTCTCTATGTTCTCAGCAGACCAGTCCCTCTCTATGTTCTCAGCAGACCGGTCCCTCTCTATGTTCTCAGCAGACCAGTCCCTCTCTATGTTCTCAGCAGACCAGTCCCTCTCTATGTTCTCAGCAGACCGGTCCCTCTCTATGTTCTCAGCAGACCAGTCCCTCTCTATGTTCTCAGCAGACCGGTCCCTCTCTATGTTCTCAGCAGACCAGTCCCTCTCTACTGTATGTTCTCAGCAGACCAGTCCCTCTCTACTGTATGTTCTCAGCAGACCAGTCCCTCTCTCTGTTCTCAGCAGACCAGTCCCTCTCTATGTTCTCAGCAGACCAGTCCCTCTCTATGTTCTCAGCAGACCAGTCCCTCTCTATGTTCTCAGCAGACCAGTCCATCCTCACATCCTGCTGTCAACTCCATTTGTTCTCTTTGTACTCTCAGAACATGGAAAGCAGGTGGAAAAAGGGAAAGAGGCAGTCAAGGTGAGGGAGGGATTTATAGACAACTTGATGAGGATTAGAGTGAAGTCGGGGGTTCAGAGATTCCCAAATAATTAGTCCCAAATAATAATAAGTCAAATAATTGGTCATAAATTGAACTTCAATGTCCTCAAACCGAGGGAAAGACATCTATAAGAAAGGCTCAGCATGAACTACTCAATAAAGTGAGTGCAGAGCGTGTGGTCACCCCTGCAGCCCACACCAGTTGTCCTCCCCTCCCCTCAGGGGACGCTAAGACCTTCTCTGAATGCAACATTGGAGAAAGCCAGATTCCTGTTGCATTCTGGGCCTGCCATCACATCCTGTGCAGATCCAAAGGCATTCTGGGGGCCTGGGGGAAGGCCGTTCAAATATAGAGTCTGAAGTGGTGCCTGGGGGGGGGGGGGGGGGGGGCGGGGGGGCGGAGGAGAACAGCTTTACATGCAACAAGCAGTGGGCACAACATGAAACAGACTAATAAACACGCACGCACGCACGCACGCGCACACGCGCACGCGCACACGCACACGCACACGCACACGCACACGCACACACACACACACACACACACACACACACACACACACACACACACACACACAGGGATTTTCTAGACTGCATTAATGCCAGTAGCCCTCTCTCTTCATGCTGTCTAACACCTGTTGTCTCTTATGTCACAGCACTAGTTCCATGTGTCCGGATATGGAGATCTTATGTTGCATGCCAACATGCAAAGTCATAGACGAACCCTCTCTCCTGCTCCTATGGAGTCGGTCATCTACTCAACACTGATATTGAATGTTTTTAAAGCAATCATGCTAGAGCATTTCTACATGATGCCGTTATTATAACATGATAAGCCTCACCAGGCTCGGACCCCCACTGACACTCAGCCACTCTGTATGGATTACATTCATGCACACTATGCAAACTATATCTTCTTTTTAATTGAAGTATTGCCAGTTCTGCACAACCCTCCAAATATGATATACATTTGTACGCAAGTTACCTCTCATCCACTTTGCATAACAATACTGCACATCATTTATTTTGTTTTATTATTCTAGTACTCAAGTACTTTGCAATAGTATACTGGACGTCGTTTTTTGGTATATCCAGATTTTATGTAAATCATTTTCTATATCTCTTATCTGTTTTAAAAAATAAAAATGATAATTGTTTTTATTTTAATTTGTTGTTGTTTTTTTTCTTCTTTAACTGTGTTTATGTATGCCATGTACACCGAGGCAAATTCCTTGTAATTGTAAACCTACTCTTCCTGTTTCTGATTCTGATTATATAGAGGCAAAAAGAGTAGGCCTAGCTACAAGGTCCGAGGTTCTAGAATATGTTCACCTCTGCATCTGCATGAAAACACACATCATAACGGCCCCTTAATATTTACCTTCCTTTCCCTCTTATGTTACAACATGTCAAGTGGTGTGCTGGCTGCCATCATATATATATATATATGTCTCTGCGCCTAGAAGTATTTCTGCTGCAGTATTTTGGTTTTATAGAACCTTTGAATTCATCCAGAGTATTTTATATTGTGCATTATTTGTGATATTTGTCTTTTCTACTGTAGATATGTTTATATTCGCTGTTTACGGTTTTTATTTGAATCTTATTTTTATTTGACGATGTTTATACTTTATTCCACCTTTTAAATATTTTAATCAATCAATGTGTATTTATATAGCCCAATATCACAAATGTTACATTTGTCTCAGTGGACTTCACAGTTTGTACAGAATATCAGTATGACAATACGACACCCTCTGTCCTTAGACCCTCACATCGTACAGGGAAACACTTCCAGAGAAACCCCACAGTTTAAAGGAACATGGGAGAAACCTCAGGGAGAGCAACAGAGGAGGGATCCCTCTCCCAGGACGGACAGACGTGCAATAGATGCCGTGGGTAAATCGAAGAGATAATACATTTTACAGCATAGGTAGACCAAATGTTTGGAAATGCATGTGTCTATAATAAGAATATGAATCCACGAGGATGTCAACAATCCTGTGGGAGCCATCAGGGAAGTAGTATGATGAGAGTCAGGCAATGCCTGGACACATAGCTGCTGTAACAGAAGCATTTCCACATTTGGGATGGAGTATCTAACTGAATGTTCTTTAAATGCGTCCTCTTATTCATATTTGAATGCATTTGTTTCTTGTTGTAATGCAACACCCCAGAGCTCGGGAAGCGACTAAAGCCCAGGTCTATCATTAGGAGATGAGTGTTAGCACCTCAGGGTTAGGGTTACACTTCCCTCACTCGCTAATTCAGCCAAGCATAGAAATGCCCGTCAGCCTTTCTGGTGGAGCCTCTGATGAGCCTGCAGCTTCCTTTCAGTGACTGAATGGTGGGGTTACACTGGAGGTTCATTCAACTTTTGCTTTACTGCACAACCCCCCCCCCCCCCTTCAGGCTGAGAATAAACTAAATAAAATGAGCAGAGGTACTCAGATATTTTACTTAAGTACAAGTTGAATACTACAGTGTTAAAATACTCTGTTAAAAGGAAAAGTCCTGAATTAAATTCTGACTCAAGACAAAGTAATCAAAAATACTTAAAGTACCAAAAGTAAAAGTACTTATTGTGCGTAATGTGACATTTTAGAATCGTATGTAATACATGTTTTGGGTTTTTTGGTGCATTAATGTGTTAATGTAACAGCTGGTAATGGTGAAGCCGATTTACATTTGATTGATATACTGCTGCTCGATATCTTAACCTATAATAATATATCATAGTTTATTTATTAGTTTAT